AACATTTTATAAAGATAATAATTAAGTATTATGTTAGAACTCAATGATTATCCTAATTATATTTTAGATTTTTTATATTTAAAATGAGATGCTTATTCTGTATTTGATTATGTTTATCTGCTGTTAGTTACACGAATTCAGATATGAAACTTTAATAAGTTGTACTTACGCATAATCTACTTGTAATATTTAGTTTTAAGTAATATGCATTAATAAACAGTACTTTATGCATAAAAAGTAGTTTTTAAGAGTTTTTGTCAAATATTTTATAATATAGTTTAGATAAGTATAGATTTATAACTTAACTCTTTCTTCTATAACAAATTCTTTTAAAATTTTATTTTACGTCTCTTCTTGGTTTCAAACTAATTATTTTATTATTTATAATTTTATTTAATTATCTATTTTTCAAAACAAATAATTATAATTTATCAAATTTACAACTTCAATTTTAATTATATTACATAAAATATTAAAAAATTGAATAAAATTTTCAATTCAATTAATCAAAAGGTGTAAAAATTATATATTTTTATATTACTAGAAGGGTACTTGTGGAGCGAGATATATCTCAATTTCTATGTTTCATTTTATTTTTTTGGTCTCTGTCGATGTTATAATACGAATTTATGTGGTTTGAACAAATAATATTGTTTTTCTTAATAAAATATATAAATTCGAAGATATTATAAAAATAAAAAAACATATATAAAAGTTCTCATTTTTTTGTATAATTTCTTTAAATTTAATTCTTTTATTATAATTTAATTTAGGTTTAATGACGAAATAATTTATTTTTGGTTTAATAATATAATTTTTATGAAAATAATAACTAACTATTCTGTTAGAACTCGATAATTATCCTAACTAGATTTCAGATTTTATATTTAAAATAAGAATTTTATATTGTATTTGATTATATTTATCTACAGTTAGTTACACGAATTCAAACATATAATTTAATAAGTTGTACTTACGCATAATTTACTTGTAATTTTGAATTTTAAGTAATATGCATTAACCAACATTACTTCATACATAAAAAATAATTTTTAAGAATTTTTATTAAATATTTTATAATATAGTATAGATATACATTTATTCTGGGATGTGATAGACAAACAAGAGCTCTTAAAGTTTCAACCATAATTTTAACTCTATTTGTTTTGATGCGATTAAGTCGATGGATAAATTATCTTTTTCATTTTTAGAACGTGTTATCATCGTAATCACAGAAACAATATCAACATCCTCCAAATAACTGAAACGAACAATCGTTTTTTCATCAAATTTGCCCTATCAAAAACCGAACGAAATTCTCAAATTCAAACTCGAAATTTACACACATAAAACCACAAAAATTGATACCAATCTGAACCCTAATTTGGCAATTTCAAAATACAAAATAGCATTAAAAAGAAACAAAAATGAGGGGTAAAACTGTACAATTAAGAATATTGAATAACAGAAAATGAAATGAATTTAACAGAAACATGACTAATCTTTATAAATAACCTCCCTTGCATTGTTAAGGGCAGATGAAACAGAGTTAGCGGCATTTACCAAAATAGCCCCACTGGTGTTGCTACCTTTGGCAATAGGAGCGGCGGCGGTGGGTGGTGGTGGCTGAGGTTGCTGTTGCTGAACCTCCACCACCCGTTGGGTTTGTCCGGCCGGCATCATGTGTTCCATCTTATCTGTTTGCGTTTCATTTTGTTTCTGATATCCAAAAAACCAGAATTTGATTTGTTAATTTAAAAATAAATAAAAAAAAAGAAAATTCAAAGAAAGTATTACCAGATTGGGTGTTGATGCCTTCATAATTTTTCTGGGTTTTGTTTCTGCACCATAAATTTCATAAAATAAATAAATAAATAAATAAATGGAAATTGGGTTTTGAAGAAATGTTTGTGAGAATGGTTATGGGTTTGTGTGGTTAAGTTGTTCCTTAGAATGTAGGGGGCACAATTACTATCAATTTAAATGGATACAGATTAAATTCACAAATTATAAAATAACAACCAATATTTCAATGACATTTTTTAAGAAAAATAAGACGAAAATGTGTAAATTAGTTGATTAAAAAGTATAATAACTACGTATTTTTAAAATTGCAAGTCTAAAATAACGCTCAATACGGATTACCAAATCATCACAATGTTTTTACATTTTGAGATACAATCAGTATCTAAAATAACGCTCAATGTGTGCTCTCATATACCTTTCCGAAATCGACAACACCAGGAGATGGGAACATCTCGAATACGTTGTCGTCTAATCACTGAATCACTTCTAGTTCTAGATGATTCTAGATGATGATGATCATCAGTAGGATATAAGAGGCGAACCGCTAGAATGGACATCGGAAGCATCCGAGACCCTTCGCCTAGGAGACAATGCTGTGTTCGCGGCTACATCAACTTCGGCATTCACCATGTTTTTCCTCTTCTGTGAATCTGATTTCGACTGCTCTTCTTCTTCTTCTTCAGATATCGGATTTCCTTGCTTGAGAATCATGGCTTGGGCTTCTTCAACGGTCGTCGCATCCTCTTCAGCAGCATACAAGATCCTTTTTATGGCTTCAATGGCCTATAAAATATGCACAACTTATTAAGCCAACCTATAAAAAACATATGTTTTGTGTGAAAGTATCTGAAACTATAAAAAAAAAAAGCAAAATGAAGGTTTTAATATATATTTAAAAGAAATGATCCAACTCTAGCAGACATGGTGCCATATAACTCTTGGGCACAAATTGTGATAGACCTGACTCATGTATCATGTGAGAATATGTGAAACCCGTTATGTTAACCTCAAAAGAGCCCTTTTTTTAACCACAAGGATGATGCCTGATTGGTTTGAGCTTGGCTCCAAAGGTCAAAAGTACCAAGAGGTCCCGGGTTCAAATCCAAGGAGGAACAAAAATCCCCTTGTGGCCACGGAGGTTCAAATGCGGTGACTCCGGGAAATTTGCAAAGCAGGTGGTCGCCCTGGGATTAGTCGGCTCACATAACGGGTTGGATATCCAGGTTAATAAAAAAAAAAGCCCTTTTTTTGAAAGAATAGGTTTCCAACATATATCGAGGAAAATGGACCGTATAGCGACCGCTTATAAAGCGAGTCGATGAAAACATACCCGCAAACTTGAGATGGAGGGAAGTTGGCACAGGATTTCAATGTCTCTCAGCTTCGCAAAGTAGAAATCCCTTTCTTTCTCGAGGCTATCCATTGTTAGTTTCAGTTCAGTTATCTGCATAATGATCACAATGTAAGCTACTTAAAACCAAACAAAATGAACTCAGTATATCCCACCAAAACTCCATCCCAAAGAGTAGAGAAAGCTGTTTATTTTAAGTTAGTTTATGTAATTTGGATCACAGTTATAATTTTTTTTTGTACTTCTGGTACCTGTTGATCGTATGCAGATGTGTCTACGGTTGAAGCGGGTTTAGCGTTTTTGGCAGGAGGGGCTGTTGAGTTGACAGAGGGTGCATCGGGTTTTCGAGAATTATGAGTTCTAGGTGCAGCCGTGGAACCCCGAGTCGGTTGTGATGGTGCGAATTTCTTGCTCACATCTTTCCCACCTTTGCAAGCTTCTCTTCTCTCCTGAGGATTGTAACTGCAATGTAGAGTTTAACAAGTAAATCATATATGCAAATAAAATCCCAACTGCGTATTAGATATAGAATAGTGAACAGATGCATAGTAGAGTAGTTACTTTAGTTCCCTGTTTCTAGAGATTGCCATCCTTTCGCTCTTAGATTACGTTAATTTGTCGAAAAATGTCAATTCGACATGAAGCTCAACGAGTTGTTAAAAGCTCGTTCATCAAAATAATAGTTTTGGCATCTCCAACCCACCACTAAAACACTAAAGTGGAGGTCATGTGTGCTCCAACCCACCGCTAAGATACTAAACTTCTTTGTGTAAACTAAAGGAGACCTCCATGGCTTCTAGAAAATGTGTGTATCAGTATAGTGGAACCATCTAGAAGATATCAGTGATACTTGAATACTTCCAAACGTGTCTAAACAAAAAAAAAGAACTTTAAGGTAAATCCCCACAAAATGCATCAAGTAGTATGGAATCAAACTAAAATGAAGTAGACGAGATATCACCCAAAAATATGCTCCCTGTTGAACAGCAAAAGCACGACCTCCAAACCTCCAAAATTGATCTCCACCATTGAGAATGTAGAGACATCTGTATTTACATTCTCGACGGTGGAAACCGGTTTTAGAGGTCCGAAGATTGTGTTTTTGCTGTTTGAAAAAGAACAATTTTTGCATGGTAATCTTTTTTTTTTTGCTTTGGTTTGATTCCATACTTCTTGATGTTGTGTTCCAAGAATATGATGATTGTTGTGTGCTCTAGTTTTATCTAGAGAAGACTTTTGTATTGCTTTCTTATTGGCGGTAATGGACTTTTAAGCAGGTTCCGTGATTTCTACCCTAGTCAGTAGTCTTGACGGGTTCCACACTAAAATATGTGTGCTTTTTTGTTGCTTATTTCTGGTTTGGGGGGATGATTTTGATTTGTTCAAAGTAGTAAACTAACTACCTTCAGAACATTCTTAGAATCCCTCCTAATGATCTCTTCTGTTGCAATCTAGGTGATCAACATTTTGCCGTGTTTCCTTTGGGTCAAAACCCAAGTAAAAATGTACATAGTCCCATTAATTGCAACACCAAACAGGAGAGGAGCTTTCTGGCAACACCTCGGTTGCTATCCAGTCGTTGCCAGAAATCGAACCCCACATAATTGGTGTAGATAATAAGGTCTTTGAATAAAGATACTGCCAATCATGGCAAATGTTTATGACTTCCTTAAAGCCATAGTTGTTAAAGGCACACCTAGGCTCTGAGGCAAAGTCTTGAGATTTTTTAAAGTCGAGGCTAGGCGTATTCACGAGGCTTACTACCCTGCGTCACGGCTGAGGCACCTTATGGGCCTAGGCTATATTGTTATAGTGGTCAAAATATAAAATAGCGGTCACGGCTGATACTTGAAATAGCGGTTATAGCACTCATATAGCGGTCCAAAAATGGCGGTTCATATAATATTGCTTAGAATTATATATATATATATATATATATATATATATATATATATAATATATATGCATGCATACATAAACTAAGCATATGCATTAATAAAAAATATAGTTTTAACATCAAATTATCAACTTAAATAAAGTTTCACAAAACAAAATAGGAAAAGTGTTCATAAACGACTTCCTTCCAAGAGTGGAAGAGGCTGTCGAACGTGGAAAAGCCTACGACTTCCTTCCAAGTTCCAACTTGGGTTGTTATAGAAAGAAAGTTGCTGTTAATTGTTATACTTTTATGTTAACGGATTAAAATTAAAACATAGCCCAAATCAAAATAAAAAGCCCAACTGCCCAAGTCAAAGGCTCAAAAATAAAGCCCAAAAGAAAACCAAACTAAATAGCGCTATTGCGGACCACAATTTGACCCTAAATATCAGTCAAATTGCCGTAAATTGCACTAATATTAGCAGCAGCACTATTTACACCTCTATTTTTGACCACCGATATTTTGCTCAGGTCCAATATCCGCTATTGCACCGCAATTAAGAGCATAGAGCCTAGGCGTACCTCATAAGAAGTTATTAAATACCAAGTCAAACACCATGTTAAATAAGTTTTCTCATCTTATATCCTATGATTCTTAGAAAAAGAGTTAATAGATGACATAAGTCACACCCTAATATCAAATACCCGGTTCTTATAACTTCAAGCCCCTCTCTATAAATACCTAGACCTTAAAACTTCTCCCTCAAAACTTCTCCCTCATGGCTCACGCTTTAAACCCCTCTCCTTCTGCCTCAATCGAAGTATTGTTGGTTGTGGCACTAGAGTACTTGCTACATATTTGAGTTGTGTATAACTGTGTGTGTATATATATATATATACTTTTTTCATAAGATGTGCCTCACATTCCTAAGGGCCGCGCCTCACGCCTAGGCCCCAGGACCCCGTTGCGCCCAAGTCTTGAGCCTTTAACAACTTTGCTTAAAGCTAAAAATCCTAGGGGCCAAATGGCTATGATTCTAATAATGTTAAGGATCCCTAAACTCAAGCTATGTCACAAGTTCATTGAGGCACAAATATCTCTTCAAGGGCCAGGCATGTCTCATTGAGGTGAATAGGCATCCTATTTGAACATTAAAATCATTTAAGTATAGGCACACTTAAATAAAACATGAATTGCTAAGGAACAAGTCAAGAAGTTACTTTTGATGACCGCCTCCGCTAACAGAATCACAGTATCGTTTCATCCATTGCATGAATTCAAGATTATCCAGTGGTCTTCCTTTCACCAGCTTGCTCACCTCAATGTGCTGCAACCATACATGCTAAATTTGTAAACAGGTGAAAGAAATTTCTAACCATTATATATGAAGTCTTACTATAAACTAACCATTGTTATTGCTAGAGTGCAGAAAAAAAGTTAAAGTAAGCCAAAGTAAGCAATCAAACCATGGTGCTTGTAGTTTATTGGCAAAATAACCCTACGTAAGCAATCTAGCCATGGCTCCTTCTAGCATAATGTTTTAGTGTTCTAACAATGGCTAGTATACAATGAGATTACATAGTACCATCAGAAAACCAATTCATTGATCCTAATGCTGAAATTAAAATTTTGACATCTGAAAAGAATTCACATCACAATGTCTAAAACACATGTATTATATGGTTTATCAAAACAAATTCCTAAGACGTACACAACCGCAGTTAGACAAATTCAAACGAATTACTTTTAAATCAGGAAATATTAACAAAACCTTGGTGATCTTGAGTTTGTTGAAAACATCTTGAAGAACCTTGTAGTTCTGAATCATGTCGTATTCCGTCTTGGCATCGAAATTGACCTTGTGCATAGGCACCATACCAGGATGTGATGCATCCATGAGCTGACAATGAACAGCACCAGAACATGCCTACATCGAATCAGATCCATCGAAATAACTCCGGTTAAAGTCAATTCTTATACATATACTCAATGCTATAGACATAAGTAACTAAAGTAAATCCCAATTCCAGTTCTGGCACCAAAAAGAAAAACAGCAATCAAAGAGCAGATAGATTTAGGGTTAAAAATTTTGGGGAAAAACGCACCTCTTCGACTTTGGAGAGATTGAGTCGGAGAGTGCTGTTGATCCAGGCTAAGATCTCAGATCGACCGACAAAGTAAGCAGAATCCATCATTCCGATATTTGTTGCCATTTCTGATTACTCTGAATCGAGAGAGAAAGCAAGCAGCTCCTGTAGAGAGAGAAAATGGAGTTTGGTTTGAAATGAGAAGAAATGAAAGCGGGATCTTGTAGTAGGGCTTTTACAGAAATCAAAAGGGCGTGTTTTTCCGCCAACGGCTATAAAATATTCAAATACATCTGAAAACCGCATTTATCATCGTAATTGTAATTTGATTATAAAATAGCAGACAAAGGAGTTAAGGGTAAAATGAATTTTTATTTTAAAATATCTCATCATTAATTATACCAACAATTTACCCGGCAAGAGCGAGACAACACCAAAAGTGTTAGGGTCGTTTACTAAACGCTTACCCGATAAGTATTTACCGGGTAATTTTCTTCACGGGATGAACATGGCAGAGACTAAGAATCTTACCCGGTAAGAACGATGATAAGGATGGAGAGTCTTACCCGGTAAGTAAGTGAGGGTGACGACTCTTACCCGGGAAAACGCTTACCAGGTAAATTGTTGTATAAAATACGTTTTGATGTATTACAATCTTACCCAATAAAATAAATTATAGTGTTGACTCCTAATGTTAAGCACTTACCGACTAAGCATTTAGGTAAACAGCCCCTTACACGGTAAGTGAATGTAATGACTCTTACCATTATTAGTGTTTACCGGATAAATTTTTGCATACGATGTCGTTTTCGTGGACTAAACTCTTACCCGACCAATCCAGTAAATGTTTACTCGTTAAACATTTAGTAAACGATCCCTTAGATATTTTCAATTCGTTTTCAATGTGTATACATCGTGAATACAATGTAAACAAACTTAAGAATATTTTAGTAGGGGGTTCATATTCACAAAGTTCACATGGTATCCACAAGTTATAAGTTTAGATTTAACTTTATTGATTTAGATGGTGTTCACAATCTATACCAGATCTCGTAGATTTAAAATATATTTACAAAATATAATAATATTTCTAAAAAATTGTTCAGAATGTATGTTATGGTGATATAAAAGATATAAGTAAAAAAAGATAGAAAAGTGGAGAGAGAAAAAAGATAGAAAAGTGGAGAGGAGAGAGATTTTTAATTTAGGGGTTGTTTACCCGATAAATGCTTATCTATAGGAGTCAACATTATAATTTACCTTGATGCGTAAGATTTTAGTATATCAAAACGTATGTGAATGCAACAACTTACCGGGTAAGCACTTACCCGGGTAAGAGTCATCATATTCACTTACCGAGTAAGACTCTACATCCTTCTCATCGCTCTTACCCGGTAAGATTCTTGGCCCTTGTCATGTTCATTTGATGAAGAAATTTATCCGGTAAGCACTTATCAAGCATGTGTTTAGTAAACAACCTCTTATACTTTATTTCATTTTTCAATTAACTTTTTATAGTTTAAATTAAATCTCACGAATTAAAACATTCTAAAAAAAAAGACTTCTTATATAATAATAATATATTTTTTTAAGGGTCATTTACCAAACGCTTACCCGAGTAAGTTTTTACCGGCAAAATTCAACACTATCACTTACTTTCCGGATAAGATTTTAGTCCACCAAAACAGAGTTGTATGCAACAATTTACCCGGTAAGTGCTAACCATGGTAAGAGTCGTCGCTCTCACTTACCGGGTAAGAGTTGTATGCATCTGTCTCAAAAATCACTCGTTGAAGCCCGGATTCAACAGCCATTCTAAGGAGTGTTAAGGCTAGAAAAGTCACTAACTCACAGTGCCGATCAATGTGACGAATTAAGCCACAAATAAAGCAGAAAGACGTCAATTTTTCACATTGGAAGGAACATGTAATCCAATCGCTTCCCGGTTTCTTCACTTTTTTCGACTTCTTCAAGGGGATTCACATGTCGACCAAGGATCAAACCCGAAGATACGGCCTATCTGCTGCTTTTTTGTTCTTTTCGTCGTAACTCAAAAAGTTTCCAACGTGATTTGCTTGCCAAAACTTGTCCAACAGTTTCGGTAAAGAAACACGTTTGTAGATTGTAGATTTGAACCCAAAATGAAGCATAATTAGGTTACGAGATCAAGTGTTAAATCTTAGGAGCCACAACAAAGTTACGACATTTTTCAACATGTGATGACATATAGCAGCAAACCTCCTGCCCTATATATTATCAGTATGTTTATAAACATATTTTTAACCATGTTTCAATAATACGGAATTTTAAATTTAATTCTTAATTTTTTAATAAATTTTAAGTGGTAGAAATCACCAACGAGAACATGACACGTGTTGTTGGCCTTTTGTGCACTTTTCCACCTTCATTTTACATGCATTGATCAAATTAACAAGCGATTATTAGAAAAAGTCAAGTTATTTTATCATATATTTCTTACAATTTATAGACATACATGATTTTTTATTAAAAAAAAATTTAGATTGAAACAACCATTTACTTGTCAATTTCTAACCATAAATACACATCACTTTTTACAATTTTCCCTTTCTTTCAATAATACGAAAATGCAGTAGGGAATTTGTCGAGAGCAGATAACACCTCTTTCATAGAGGGTCTCTTTTGTGGGACCGATGATATACAACTATAAGCTACTCTTAACAGTGCTAACAATGCCTCTTCCTTACCCTCCATGTCGCCCCGGATCGCCACATCCACCATCCGTAACACCTTTTTCTTCTCTTCCACTTCCAACGTGGAGCTCCACGTCATGCTCGCAGGCCCAAACTCGTCAGACACTATAACCTTTCCTGTTAGCAGTTCAAGCAACACCACACCGTACGAGTACACATCCCACTTTGGGTTCGGCTTCAGACTTCTTAGTGACTCTGGAGCGTAATATGGAGAAATGCAGCCCATCGCACTTGGGCTAGGGCTTGGGTTTGACCCAATCATGATGTCAGGGAAGCTGTCTCGAGAGGCATTCGACCTCTTGCTGCCAAAGTTTCGAGTTGATCCACCCACTTTACAACTCTGATCGCCTACCACCAGTCTCTCGAGCCCGAAATCTCCAATCTTGGGCTCCATATCAGATCCTAATAAAATGTTACTAGGCTTCAGATTTCCGTGCACTTGCTTTTTCTCATGGATGTACAATAGTCCACGGGCAGTGCCACTCGCTATCTTGAGCCGCATTTCCCAAGGTAGCGGGCAAGGCGAAGATCCCACTTTCCCTAGCGAAAGTACAAGTCAAGAAAGCATGTTACTTATTTAAGCCGGTAACATAAATATAACGTTTAATTTTGATACAAATAAATTATTTAATTATTTTAAAAAGGAATTTTTTTGTGGACCCACTATCTTTATTGCTATTATACGCCATGGGCCAGAGGTAACTAATGAGAACACTCGCTAGGTGACAGTTGACTTGTGGTGCATGAGGCAGTGCATTAATAAAGCCAAGGGTTTAGTTACAACTACTCCACCCTCGGTCCCCGTCAACAGCTCATTTTAGCAATAGTAATGTTGGATTGCTACATTGCGCATGTGCGTGTAGACTTTAGTGTGTGGGGGAATTTAGAGAAAATATATAATAATGACTAATATTTTAGTTTAAATCTGATTAGAATAATGAGGATTTATATTCTCCAAATCTTAATTTTCATAAAATAATTACAAATAAATTCCAAAATTTGCATAATAATATAAGGGATCGTTTACCAAATGCTTAATTGGGTAAATGTTTACCAAGTAACATTATCTTATCAGATGAATATGTAAATAAACATGAATCTTACCCGGTAAGTGTGAGACAAGGACCTATAGTTTTAACCGGTAAGTGAGGGCAGTGACTCTTACCACAGTCAGCTCTTACCGGGTAAATTCTTGCATAGAAAGCCATTTTTTGTCGACTAAAATTTTATTTGGTAAGTAAATGATAGTGTTGAATGTTACCGCTAGATGCTTATCAGGTAAGTGTTTGGTAAACGGTCCTTAAGTTAATATCTTATAATCAGAAATAGAAGGAAATAAATTCAAAGAAATTATATAAAAATGAATAAATTTAAGTTATATTATATTAATGAAATAAAATTAATAAAAATAACTAAAATTGAAAAGGACCAAACATTTATAATCTCTTAAATCGCTTTTATTCAAATAATTTGGATTATTAATTTAACACTAACTTCTTATATTCGTATATATTAACTATTTTGTCGGTTTTTCATTAAGTCATGTATTAATACATATATCTTATTGATTAATCTATCTGTATAAATTGATAATTATTTTTGTTTGGAAGAGTTTTTTAGATGGAAATAATGTGTTTTTTTTTATTGGAAATATATATTAGTCATTACCAAAAAATCATATATAATTGATCAAATAAATTGTAAGTCTCTTAAAGCTCAATAAGCTACTAACAAACAGACCTTATTTTTTTGTTTTACTACCCAATGAAATAGCTACTAAATAATAAGTCAGTCGGTCCTGACTCGACTCGGCTGATCAATTCTAACAAAATTGACCCGTTTTGATTCATTAAATAACCATCAATTTTACCATATATATCAAATATTATAAGTACCCGATGGTATTTTTCAAAAAAAATTTAATTTTTCAGTAAAAATGTAAAATAATTTTTAATAAAAATGTAAAATAATTTTTAGCAAATTGGGAAAAAAAAGAGAGAGAGAAAAGATGACTCACTGTAACGTGCATTGGCTAAGCTGCCATAGGGAACGTAATCGTAGATAACAAGCTTCTCATCCGCACCCCAATAAAATCCTCGGATCCGAACCAGGTTCGGGTGCACCAGCTTTGCAATGACCCGAACCTGGTTCTCGAAATCCTTGAACCGCTCCAACCCATTTTCACCGATTCGTCTCACCGCCAAAGCCGTACCGTCTTCCAAAATCGCTTTGTAAATTATACTCGACCCAGTGGCGCCGAGTATATATGCTGACGCTCTTAATAGCGTCTCAAGCTCAAGCTCTTTCCCGCCACCGTCAACCGTCACCAACCCTTTTTTATCTGCTTCTTTTCTTGCCGGGTTGTCGGGTTTTGACCTTTCCGGTTGCGGGATTTCTGTTTCCGAGCATTCGGAGCTTGAAGTTTCGGCCAATGATTCTTCTCCTTCGGTGCTTTTTCTCTTCATCAAACACGCCCATGATCGTAACCATTTGTGTTCTTCATCGGACGATGAAGCCCAGTCGTATTCCTTATTTGAATTCGAATCTTTTTCGTGATTTCGATGAGTTGATGTAACCCCTTTTCGTTTTCTCAGTACGTAAATGAAAATGAGGGCGAGAATTGTGACGATGGCGATGTCTCCGAGTACGATTCCGATGATTGTGGTGGTTTTAAACTTGGTTTTTGAAGATGCATCTGAGGTGTTTGGTGAATTGCTTGAAGGAGAAGAGGGAATGGTTTCTGGGATACCGGCGATCGCCGGAGGGAATGTTGTGCTGCCGGAAGAGACGTTGGGTAGAGGGGAAACAGAAGAAGGGACTAAACAGAGGTTCTCCAATGGCTTCCCGCAAAGTTCCGGATTTCCGGCGAACTGTCTCTCGTTTTGGTTGAAGAAAACGCTAGATTCCGGAATTGCTCCGGCCAGATTGTTGAATGACAAATCAATCGTCACATTTGTTCGAAGTTTGTTCGCGAATTCCGGCGGAATCTCGCCGGAAATATTGTTGTGTGAAACATTGAAGTAATCAAGATCACCGCTGCCTAACTCTTTAGGTAACGACCCATTGATGAAATTGCTCGATAGATCTAGAATTTTGACAGAACCAAACCCACTTACGAGCTCGCCGGAAAAGTAATTACCCTTCAACGAAACCACCGTTAAGTTAGCAAGCAGTGCAAGATTCTCCGGCAGCTTTCCCGTTAACGAGTTACCGGAGACGTTAAGAACCCGGAGACTTCGCCATGCCCCGACGAACCCAAAAAGCTCGCCGGAGATCAAATTATTGGAAAAATCAAGAGACTCGAGCTCCGGTGCATTATACAATGACAAAGGGATGGACCCATTGATCGAATTATTAGATAAGTTTAATTCTCGAAGGTGTTCAATCAAACCCAGATTGGCGGGAATGGAGGCGACGAGTTCCGAATTGGGAAGCGATAATCCGGTGACACGGTTGTCGGAGAACCCACAGACGACGCCGTTCCATGAACATGGAGTCTCATGGGAGTAGCTCCAGGTGTCTAAAACACCCAAAGGATCGTCTAAAACAGAGTATTTGAAAGAAAGCAAGACGATGCCATCAATGGTGAGGGCAGAAGATGGATGAAGAAAGAAAAGAAGAAGAAATGGAAGGTTCATGAAGCATAAATGGAGGTTGGTCATGGTGGTTGAGAGAGCAGCAATGGCGCATCTCCGGTGGTGGTTATGAAAAAAGGGGAAGGGGGGCGTGCGATTTATGACACCGAGTAGAAGCAGAATGCCATGTGAAGGTGAGTTAAGTAAGAGAGAGAGAGAAGCAAATATACTTTTGAGTTGACACCTTTTTGGCAATTGTATAAGAAGATGATATTCGCTGCATTTAAGCTAAGGTTCTAAATGGTATGCAGGAGCAGGTTTAAATAATAACTGATTTTAGGTTGCGGATCGAGAGATAAAAAGAGAGTACGACACGTGTCTCACATATTTACGAGTTATTAATCATGAATAATGTATTATTTAAGATGAATGTGTATTATTCATCGTAATAGTGAATCAGTTTAACATGGATCATAATTGTATATTATTCATCACGAATGTTGTATCATTCATCATGAATATTCATGAACTTCACATTCGTTATTCACATTGAATTGTGGACGCCGAAAACACTTGTCGTGCTCCTCTTTGTCTCCCGGTTCACAACCGAAAATTGATTTTCATTTGAACATCTCTCTCTCTCTCTCTCTCTCTCTATATATATATATATATCTAACATGATATAATTTTTCTAAGAAAATACATCAAATTCTAACAACTACTCTTATATAGCAATTCTCTTTTCCAGATACTTAATTTCGGTGTCTTCTATTAGTAAAATAATAAAATATTAATTTTTTCTTAAATATGAAGTTTTGGATATTTTTAAAAAAATGGAGATTTCTATCATTTCTTACTTTTTCTATTTTAGCATACATTATAACATAGGTTTTGGAGCAAAAATATATCATAGATCTCCAAGATCTTTATTTTAGCGTAGCTGTTGGAGATGTTTTATATGTTGTTACTCCGATGAAGAATCGTGTGAGAATATGAGTTAAAGCGAGAAACATAAGGGATCTGAACTTTTCATCATTTTTAATCTCACACTCACTCCATTAATTGCGCTTGATATGAAATTGATCCAATACATCTAGGTGCATCTCATTATTATTGATATTCAATTAGGATTAATTCACTAATGGAGATCCTTTGTTATCCTTCTCACCATAACTTTCATTCTCACTGATATGTGTTGAGAATTTAACACATAAATCACTCTTTTTACGTCTTTCTAGTTATAATAATTTCTTTTCATTCTCACTTTGAGTCATTTTTATTTATTTATTTATACATTTGTTATTATAGCTAAATATTGTGGTTGACTTGTTAGTATGCTTGGATGAAGCTAATAGATAGTTTTTGTGAAACTAACAGATGCTACAGCATTGGAGCAGCATCGATCTGATACATGCGCAACTTTTTGGAGGGATTAATGATTAAGACGTTGCCTTTTTGTATTCATGGAAGACAGTTGGAAATTGTTGGAATCTGAGATTAAAAGTCTTGTTAGGAATATGTATTTTCTAGTTCCTTTAATTGTACTTTGTAACTAGCTTTTGGATACTTAGCCTCTAAGTCTTTTATTTTTGTCTTCTAGTGACTCATTTTAAGTATAAAAAAAAGGCTTGGGGTGCCTTCTAAACCATCAATTACTCCCACTTTTATCCATTCCATTTGCTAGTATTGTAAACCCTCTCCAAGGGTGGTTTTAATTAAGCTCTTGAAGTTCTTCATCTTTTTCTTCATTTACATTCTCGTCTTTTATTTTCCGTCATTTACATTCTCGTCTTTTATTTTCTCGTTATTTACATTCTCGTCATTTACATTTCCGTTATTTACATTCTCGTCATTTACATTCCCGTCATTTATTTTCTCGTCATTTATTTTCTCGTTATTTACTTTATGCAATTTACGTTTATGTCTTTATTTTTTGTCATTTATTTTTTTACTTTCCGTTATGAGTAGCTAAGCTTTTATAGCTTGGGTGTAAGACGGAAATGTAAGATTTTTAAACCAAACGAAAGTAGCTAAGTGTTTCGTAAACGACGTTTCATTGTTTCATTCGAGTTTTTATAAAACCAAGCACACTTCTTGACGGGTTGATCACTTGAAAGTGTTAAAGTGCGATGRACTTAGAGATAAGCSATCAWTAAGCACGTCAACTTGGATGACATAAGAGGTAGACTTGAGAAAGTTGCCGACAAGGAGACTTGTCATTTATGTTTTTCAAAACKTAACTCCCGACGGGTTGGTCGCTCTTCAAAAGTGTCAAAGTGTGATAGATTCAAAGATGAACTATCAAGAACACGCCAACTCGAATGATATGGAAATCGACTCGAGAGAGTTATTTTTAACAAAGAGATTTGTTTATCCATATATTTTGAAAACACCATTGTGTCACTATMCCCGGTCCGGACACCACATAGAGATATGAGTGGAAAGCTATAAGATAGTGAAATGGTGAAGTCCGAGAGGAATGCCTTCAAAATAGATGGTGGAACTTAGTTTCGAAACATTGTTTGCTGTAGCATTGCTATAGCATTGGCTGCTGGAAGTTGTGTTTGGGTCTCACCTTAAGTCTTACACCCTTGCTTCTTTTATATATTCTATATTTTGTTTTGGATCACCTTAAAATCAAACAAAAGTCTTCAAAATTGTTATCTGAAATCATCTATTTTATTGGACTCTAATCTAACTTTGGCTACAATCCCTGTGGACGATAATCCGGTACTTGTACCACTTTATTACTTGGAAAGACGACGTTAGGCCGTATTGTATACTTGCTTTGTGGCCTAATTTCATTAGTCTAAAGGTGTGAAATATAACCGATCACTCACCGAAACTCAATATTTGTTACTGATGTACATTGAGAATTTAATGTATAAAGTACTTATTTTATAATTTTTAGCTGGTTTATTTTCCTTTATCTCAATCTTGAGTTATTTTTATTACTTTATTTTCCACTTTATTTTTAAGAATCTAATTGTATGATTTACTTGTTTTTACACGAGCGAATAGCTAATTTGAACTTGTGCACAAGTTGTTTGGTGTTGTAGCATTCATACAGTATGGATATGGTAGTTTTCGGCTTTTTGAAGTGCTTAATGAACTAAGTTGTTAGGGAGACGTTTTGTTGCTTGAAGACCATGAACCGAAGATCTTTTGAAAGATTCATGGCTGCTAATTATCTTTTTTGATTGACCTAATAATCTAATAAGCTTTATAATAATTTTAATTTGACTTTTTAATTACTTTGACCCTAAATTTTATTTTGTCTTGTTTGGTCCCTCTATTTTGTGAGTAGATAGAAGTGCAAGGGTTTTTGTTTTAAATCATGGCTTCCAATTTAAATTAGTTCTTAAGTAATTTAGCTCTCCACTTTTGAAGCAATATTACTTTAAATCTTACTTTTAAGTGATCTTGTTTAAAAGTTGTCATTTAATTTTAGTTCTTTACTTTATTTTCGTTCTTTACATTCAAGTCATTTACTTTCAGTTATTTATATTTATGTTTTTATTTTTCTTTATTTACATTTCTTACGATTTACATTATGTAATGAGTAGCTAATTTCATTAGTTTTGGTGTGAGATCTTAAACCGATGGGAAGTGGACGTTGTTTAGCAGTAACAATGTTCCATTATTTCATTCAAGTTTTATAAAGCCAAAAAAACATTTATTGGTGAGTTGATTATTTTGAAAGTGTTAAAGTCTCTTGGACTAAGAAATGAGCCACTAAATGTACGTCAATTTGAATGATATGAGAAAGTACACTTAAACAAGTTACTGATAAAGGAATTTGTCATCTATGTTTTTTAAATTGATTATTATTGACGTTTTGGTTGCTTATCAAAGTGTTAAAGTGTAGATGACTCAGGAATGAGCCATTAAGAACACATCAACTTGAATGATATGAGAATCTACTCGAAAGAGTAATCTTTAGACAAAGGAATGAAAAAGACATTACCTACGGAATGAAAAAGACATATATGGTAGAATCGTAACCATAGAATACGACCTGAATCAAAATGCATACATTTGTCTTATACATTATAGAGATGAAAATCGTAATTTCAAAAGCACATGAATGAAAATATCAATTTTCAACACATCACAAGGACTAAAAATGTAATTTACTTTGAGGTAATGCTATATGCACCCTTTTTATGTCAGATTCAAGTCAAATCCAGATATGAAAATTTTACTCGTTGGAGCAAGTATCCAACCCTAACGGAGCGGGATTCCCGACTTTGACGGGTAACGAGACAGGGGTTCATTTTTATACCCGAAGAGGGGTCGAGGCGGGGTCGAGGCGGGGTCGGGAATGACATTACCCGCCGCTAATCCGACCCTGATTAATTCATTTTGTTAAATATATGTATATAGTGTGTATAAATTGATATATATATATATATGTATGCATATATGTAAATATTTAGTATTAAATGACAAATATATTTGATTTTCAATATTGACAATTAATGTAGTGACGGTTTATTATAATTTTAATTTTAAATTACATTTTTTTAACTAAACAGGTACCTAACAGGTTCCCAAAACCTGCCGGAGATTCCTTTTCCCTAAACCCGTCAGGGAATAATCAGGGTGGTGATGGGGATGGGGGCTTAAACGGGGTCAGGGTCGGGAACAGAGAATGCATTACCTGCCCAAAAAAAATCCGCCCCATTTCCATCACTAACCAAATAATGCACTGGAAATATAAAAGTAAGTTATGATGTTGATGTATGTAAGATAAAATTTTAGCAGGTTGGTAAACCTGCATTTAACGATATATATATATATATATATATATATTTATAGTGCATGTAATCTATTAGTATTAAATATTTGTTTTTGAATATCTTAATTATAATTCTCCATTTCAAATAAATTTTGGAGATGCCCCCATACAATAACTACTTTGATCATGAGTATGTGAAAATTGTAGGGAATAGCATATTTGGTAGGTGGTGACACATGCATTGTAATATATGTTACAAGACCATCTCATCATACAATTGACTTTTATTTCATATATGTTTGTACTTCCTAAAGTACCCCTCCTACTTACCTTAAAGTAGTGTTTT